TAATACATTGGCCTAGAAACAATCCATATTTAGCTTAATTTCAATTTCTCTTTTTTCCTATTTTATTTATATATTTTTTATGCTTTTATGGATTCGGATTATGCTAATTTTTATTACCTACACGGTTACTTCCTTCTCTCTTATTCCAATATTTTCTTCAATTGCTACTCCTTCGGAGCAGCAAGTGGTCTCGTGAGCCGCCGAATGAGTGCCTCCGTAATTCCTCCTTATACCAAATCACAACGTTCTATGTCTATGGAGGAGTATGACAAGCCGATGGGCGTTGAAAACCTGGTCTACAACGGCCAGCGCAAATACAGTATCGCCGGAGAAGACACAATCAACGAGGAGGGTGATAGTGAGATTGCCGCCTGAGCTCGTTGAACGAGACTAACAGCTGCAGCACTGGCAGTTGTGTCATTAAATCGCTCCCCTCAAGTACCCCATTCCCATACGCCAACACATACACACACACACACACAGATGCACTTCTTTAGTCACGCGCGCATACGCAAACGTACATTAACACAAAACCATAGCCATGGCCACTTGCTATTATAAGAATTTGTTTCTTCCCCGTGTTAAAAGCTCTTATTTGGAGAGAGCTTTTCATGCCCCTTAGCCCCATGTCGCCTTTATTTGACGCCTTACTCATAGTTGAATCCTCATATATAGCTCAATTGCCATTCCTTCCCTTAGTCCCTTGTCATCTCCACCTAAAGTAGCTTTTGGAAGGCATCAGTTTTTAATAGATTTTTTACTCCGCTCTGCGATAAACTCTGTCTGTCGTTCTATCCGCCCATTTATTTTTCTATTTTTCAATCTATATGCTTATTCTTTATAGCGTGAGTTCCTCAATCCCTTTGCGTTAATGGCCGAGTCGTTCTTTTACGTAGCATAGTAGTGGACTGTTTGAAATTTGCTCCACTGATCAACTATGCCTTGTTTATTTATATTATTCCCTTTAGTTGCTATCCTAGCACCACGCCTTCACCCGGTCTTTTCTCTTAGCGTATTTCATCACATTTCATTAATTTGTATGCTCCGTTGAGCTATACTCTCTTAATACCCTAGCCCTTTCCTCACTTTCACACTCCTCTATAAGTGATCCGTCATCTATACATCTGCATGCTTCAGTTGTATTCATAACTGCCGTATACATAAGTTCACTTAGGCTGCTATTTCCACAAATATATTGAAGTCATTTTATAGTTACACTGCATATTCGGGCCCATCTCCCACGTATCTTATGCACATAGAAAGGTTAGCAAATCTACAGGTGGCTAGGCCAGCACATACATAAATGTTGTGTTATTATCAAATCAAAAGCTTGCTTGTCTGATCGTATGCTGCAAAACCTCACCACCCGATACTTTAGCACTCAGCTCAGTTGAGATAGTTTCAATTTTCTTTACGCAGTGTTAATAGCAAAAGCATTTTTGCCAAATCGTTTATAATTCCATCCATTGTCGGTCATTCTTCTCCGTATATCCTACCATTTGGTAGAGTCCATCTTTATATTTCCCCATCCTTATTTTTCGTCATCTAGGTTCCGTGTGCTTCTTAGGCTTTGCAACATTGCTGGTAGGCCTTGACATTTCAGAAAAGGAGCCTCGGTCATTTATGTTATTCCCTTGATTGGCTTTATTTCTTTCTTGGTACAGACTTTTTTATCCAGTTCTTTCTCTTTAGTTTTTTTCTATCTCTTTCATTTGTATTCTCTTTATCTATTAGTTTGATCTTCCTTTCGGTTTCTCCAAGCACACGTCATTGTTTCATTACCTGTCTCTTATCCTCACAAGTTGGCCTCCTTAGTCCTTTTCTTCACCTGGTACCTGAGACGCACACAGCATCCCAAGTCACTTCTTTATTTCCTACCATCAAATGTTGGTCATAAGTTTTATTTAAATGATTGTACACTTTTTATATCTATTGGTTTGCTGCTTTTATTTCTCATTCA